AACTGGATTAAAAAAAAGAAATTATATTACCTAGTTTTATTGACTATTTTCCACGAAAAATGATGAATTAGCGTATACACAGAAATTAATGCAACTTTTGATAGTAACCAGTCCATAAAAATAACCATTAACTTTTCTTGAAGTTAAATTGTCAACATAAAAAATAAATATTTTCTGCTTAAATTACCTCAGGTAATAATTTCAATTTTTAGAACCTTTTTTTTATTGGGGAATCTGAAGATTTTAACTGTTCAACATTGATATTGAGTTTGATATTTCAAAACCTCTTCCGAATATGAAATTAAAGAAATCATGTCTGGTAAAATACAAAATTTATCGCTTTTAAGATCCAATACTTTCATTTCTGCGGAAAAAGTGCCCATTTTCTCTGATGAAGGAAAATGTTTACATTTATTTATTGGTTTCTCGCTGACGGCGGCGGCGATGGAGTTTTTTTTTCTTCGGAGACGCAAAATACATCAAATTTATATTCCAGAGCTGCGCGCAGAAAGGCATCTTCATTTGAGGGACCAAATTGAAATGTATCGATTGGCGAGTCCCTCGGGCAATTTTTCTTTGTGCCCATGCCGGAGAGAAATGATCAGAGCGCCTGATGATATGTGTGTGAGTCGCCAGCAAACCGCTCTCGGCAATTCCGTTTGAGGTGATTGACAAATCAAAGGAGATGCTGCTAATTAAAACGGCAACTCAAAGATTAAGAATCATGCGGGACGCGACACCGCAGCTGCTCGTTGCGCATTTTCCTCTCTGCTGGGGAGAGAAATGGGCTTGTTTACCAGCGGAATTTATCGCTCAGCACATCTTAATTGAATTTGATTCTAAAGCTCTCTCGATAATAAAACTTTTCTTTGCAAACTAAATTCAATTTAAGCTTTTTTTCAACAGAAGTCCAAAAAGTTTCTCTGCTTATTTTTGAAAGTTTTCAGCCAGACTATGTACTTGTAGAAAAAGGATTGATTAAAGTTTTGAAATTTATAATGTAAATCATAGGAAAGAATAGAAAAAAGACAAAGTTTTCTATATTTAATAATCACCCATTCAATTAATGAGAAAAACGATTACTAATTAAAAATGTACACTTTCTTTCATTTAAGGATCAGAGTCATGCATATTTCACAACTTCCCACAGGTTGTTTTGTACGAAAATAGCTGTACCAGGGCGCAAATAATTAATAAACTTTTGGCTCTGGCAACCGTGCCCAATTTTCTCCGTCGCAGCGCCTCCAGAGAAAATTAAATCCGGTGAACAAACTTTCTCCTTGGCGAATTTTGGTCCGAATATCCGGCAAGAAATCAGCGAGAGAGAGTATCGGAGACAATTCCAGTGGGAATTCGCCACAGACGATGGATAAAAGTGTTGACAGAGAAATAGAGACCGAGGTCGCAATCGTCATGTTTTGATAGTCAGGTGGGGGAAAAGTGCACGCCAGTGTCAAAGAATTAAAGTTCTTTTGCCGTACGTGTGCCCTGGGCCTGAAATTTTCATTCTGCACACACATCAAAGGGTTCTGCACGGCGCTGAAATGAAAGGAAAGCTCTCTGCAGATGCAACTGACAGCGCCCGAAACGGGCTTGAAATAAATAAAATAAAATAAAAATGCAGCCGCCAACTTTCGCTGGCTGCCGAGATGGAAAAAGTTAGAGCTCTAAAACGGCACTCCCTGTGCTCAAGGGAAAATAAATGCGAACTTTTGAGCTTCAAAATTGCACGCGATGGGATTCTATGGGAGGATAATTTTGCCAGCGTGTCGCCCACGCCACTCGAAACTTTCTGCGAGGCGTTTTTCAGATCGGCAAATAATAGTGAGCGTACAGAATCAAAGTTTAGGCTAAAATCGATCTGATCTCCCATGGGCATTTGATTGTTAAATGAAATGATGAAAATTGTACTCACTTGGCTGCTGAGTAGCGTCATCTCTCACGCCTGAAATGTATAAATATTGATCATGAAATATTATCTTTTTAAATGATTGGAAATATCAAAAACAAATTTTTATTTATTTTTATTAGAATTTAATTTAATGGAACTTCAACAATTAGATTATTTCTTGGGCAAATAATTTTTAGTCTGCTAAGTCTTTATTTTTTGTATTTCTTCGATTAAAAATAATTTTTGTTTCAAAAGTAGCCCCTCTATGATTTTTTTCACAATTTTTTGGCCAGGAAATAATCTTTCAATTTAGTTATTTTACATTATTGAAACAAAAAATGACAATTGTCATTCTATAATAGTTTCCAAGTTCAATTTTCTTGGTGAAAAATTAAGCTTGTTGGTAGCTTTATTAAAAACTTAAAAAAATAAACTTCCATCATGCTGCTTAGGAAAAACACAAAAAATTCATCTGTTGCACAATAAATATAGAGCCTCAAAAAAATATTAGGATAGTAATATGAGGCCTTCTATAAATTCCTGCTCGCCGTATTTGGAGCCTCCGTTCGCGAACCAGCACCGCAAAATTGGGTCCCACACGATAAAAAATAGGTCTGCGGTCTTAAATTTCTTGGCTGGCTAATTAACCGCCAGGCTGGAACGTTCATTACACGGCGGGCAGAGGCGCGACCATGCAGAGGAAATTTCCCCGTCCACCGAAGCCATGAATCATATTCTTTATTAAAATTCAGCTCCACAAGTTGCTAATTAAGCCAGTCAAGGAGTCTTGCCGCGAATTTATTATTACGTTGTTCTGCTTTTTTAAGCCTCTCTAGCTCTCGCCCCAAGAGGAAGCGATTTGCACACCAAGGCAATAAATAATTGCATTTGCGTAGAACAAAGTCGCGATTTTTTGCCGCAAAATTTACAGCGTGCAATAAAGTGCCTTGATTTTAATACTGCAGCTCGTTTCGCAGACAATTAAATTAATCGGCTTTCCCGATTGTCTAATGAGATCGTTTCTTCTGCTTGACGAGGTTTCAGCCTCATTCGCTCGCTTGGAAATTTAACTGCAGAGCACTTGAGAGAAACATTGCAAGTATATGTGGGGTTTACTCTCTTGCAATCGGAATGATTAATCTTTCAGTCACTTCAACGCAGACAATAAGCGTGCAAAACGTTACACCCTGTTGAGAGCTAAAGCTTTTAGATGGTTTGGCTTCATAAAGACGTTGAATGACTTTCAAAGTCACAAAAATGGGATTGAATGAATATTCAATCAATCATCTCATTGTCGGCTGAAAAATTATGAAACCTGTTTAAAATCATTTCAATAACATTTGAAAATCAATTCAGACAAAATTACTTTTTCTCAGACGTTTTTATCGTCCTATTTAGAGAAAAACTAGTTATTTGTTAAATTAGATGTGAATAAAATCATGATAAATATACAATGTTTTTAATAAATCGAAAATATTTGAAACTATAAATGAACAGTTAAACACAAAAATAATTTAATAAATTATAATGTTAATCTTAATTAAAATGTAATTTTACATTTTAATTAAGATTGATTTTAATCAAATATTCATCCTTCCCTCATTTTCTGATTTAGAATTACTAGAAATAATCTGAATTAGCTTGGTCCAGGCTGGCTTGGACACAAGAGAATGAACAGGAATATTTTTTCAATTAGATTTGTGTTTGCACTTAAAAATTAAAAGGTTAATGAATTAAAAATATTTTTATATATGAAGCAATAAAAACAACTCTTCTCAATTGATCAGTTTAATTTTTGAAAAATTGTCTAGACTATAATTTTAATTGTTTGTTTCATTTTTTTCCCTTATTATGTACTTGAATGAGATCCATTATGAGGAAAATTCAATTTGCATTGAATGTGACATGATAAACAAACAGACATTGCGAGCTAAATAATGTAACAATGTCTAATTAAATAAAATGGGTTCTGGCCAGCTTTGAATAGCATCATTTCAGCATGCAGGACTGAAAGCAAAATAACGGTCGTGTGAATATGCTGTGTATATCGAAAGAGGATAATCCACAACACAAGCTCATTTGCATGAAATAATCCTTGGAGGCGAAAGCTCGCGGCGCCGAATTTTGGCACAGCCGCTTCGATAAGCAAAATTGCGAGCGAACAAAAGCTGGCGAGGATTTTAAGAGGAGCCTCAAGAGCAGAGATTTTGCCTCGAAATGTCGAACAAAAAGCCAAGAGTCGGTACACGCGTGTGTGAGAAAATGGAGCATAAAACTGAGCAGAGAAAAGCTGAAAGGGCATAGAATAATCCCAGAGTTTTGAGAGTGTTGTTTTCCACTCGTAACTGACCAGGCCGCGAATTCCCCGAAATTCGGCAGCGCGGCGGGAAATCTGCTGAATTATTCGCGACACGTCAGCGGCAGCAAAATACAACGCAGCCGAAATACATCAAAATTTTTGTCGTCCCTTGTTACCAGGAAAAAAATTGGATGTCGCCGGAAAAGAGGAAAAGCCCCGCGGCGGCGACTCTACGTGCGGAACGAGACGGAAGGAGGCCAAGGTGGTGAAAAATTCAGACTCATAACAGTCCCATTCGCTGCTGGTATTCATCATGCTGCCGGATTAAAAACGCAATCCTGCGTCGTCCGGTGGAGCTTAAAGGGCTGTTGAATTTTGTGTTCATTTTTCCCACATTTCAAAATTTGTGTGGACAAGCAGTTCATTGAGAGATTTTCACACATTGCCAAGATAATCCAAAACAAAATTCCCACAATATGCTAATGTGTACTAATGATGCGAGCTATTTTGCATAAAAATTTATGCTGCACCTTATATGGGGCTTTATTCAAAAAAAGGCTTTAAGAACACTTTCAGGTAAAAAGTATTAAGATTGAAACAATTTAGAAACCTTTTTTCCACTTAATTTAATTTGTATTTAATACCAGTACATAAAAAAAATGTGCAGGAGAATGAAATAAAAATGGAAATTAAACTCAGTATTTTATTTTTATAGAAATGGAAAGATTGAAGTGTGTATGGACCTTTTTAGTGAATTCATCAATCATTCCATTAATCATAATTTACAACTTTCTAAATTTTCCAGCCAATTTGGCGTCCGCCTTTCCCACAAACGAAACTTTCTGACTAATTGGCTCTGGGCCCGGTACGTGTTAAGCGCCAAATCGATGGCATTTAAGCAGCCGCGGCCGATCACTTCATTCAGGGCAATTTTCGGTGCTTGCTTTTCTCCTTTCAAAATTTGCTGTGTGGGAGAAGCCAATTTGGCGCTGTAAAAATATCCCCAACGGACTTGTCGATATCCTCTGGCAGCTCTTTGAAACGCGTTCGTCACTTTAGCAGGCCAATCGATCAAAACATTGCGAGTACACAGGAGGCGGCGGCAGCTAAGCGTTTTAATTTGCAGGCCCTTTGATCAGCAAATTGATCAACATCAAAAGGGACGCAGAGGATTTATAGTGAGCCGTAGTGAGCGAGGTGTTTAATGTTTAATTGCAACCAAAAGTTTTTCACATTCAAAATCTAAAGTTTTTATTACAGGTGTTAAAAAATATGTGTTTACACCAAAAATGCGCAATAATTTTTTGGTATCAAATTTAAGAGGTTTGTTTACATTCAGACGGAGGGCAACTTTGCCCCAAACTCATTCAAATTTTCTGGAAAATTATTAATAATAAAGTAACACTTTTGAATATTTTGATTGGATAGATTTATATTTAAAGAACAAAATGTTAATCAATTTGATTAAACATATTCAAATAATTGTTATGCATATTAGCCACACTACTAACAACTCTTATAAGAATGATACTGAATTGGCTTTAAACATTAACCATGTTTTAAGTTATTTTAAGTAATACAATTATAAATTAATTTATTTAATTTTGATGCACACAACGAAGTTTATGATTTATAATTTTTTCTAACCATATAGCCTTAAAAATAAATTTTTAATTAAGACACATCAATAAAAATTTTTGTAAGTCGCAAAATCAGAGATGAACTCCAAAGCGCATCTGTAAAGCAACTCGTATTGCTCCTAAAATAAAAACAAATGTGAACTTATTATTATTTTCTTTTTAGTAGAGAAAATTATGAAGTGATTTTTAAACCAGTTTGAAAGAAATAAAAATGCTTGAGGAGCGTAAGCATTTGCTATGCTACAATTTTTACTTTTTTCACCTTTTCTGAGACAAAGCCGGGCCGAACATTTCTCACAGCTCGCACTGCTGAGGCCACATCTATCTCGTGCTCTAGCTTAATTTTTTCTATGACAAGACCAAGTGCTAGAAACGCCCCGCAAGCCGTAACTCCATCGCTGATGATAAAAATAATAGCTTAATTCTTTTAATACAAAATTTGCATACTGGCACATCAAAACTATGGGCGCTTCTCCAGCGTGGTTGCGTTCAACATCCTCCCACAGCTGTATAAGTTTACTCGGCTTTGGAATCGTCAATAAATTGGCCGGCCACCCAGTGAAACGCACAACGTCAACGACCCAGCTGTCGTTTTCCTTTAAAAATTAATTTTATTTAATATTATTTTTAATTAAAAATAAAATCAACCTTTTCAATGTCAACCGTGAAAACTTGGTAATTGTTGCTCACAGATTTTCCTTGGAGACATATTGCGAGTCCTTCACCTGTCAACGGACTGCTTTTTTTGCGTGGCATAAATATTGGCTGCATCGAAATATTTAAATAATTAGATTCAGGGTTAGTAAAATTGCAAAACCTCGTTTGTCTCCGCCTCATTAAGCAATATCACGCTTTTGACCTTTTGCTGGTAAACCATCAGCCAGAAATCGCTGACTGTGTCACTCAATGGGACCTGTGTGGCTATGAATGCATTTTTTCGCTTGAATCCATCGACGTAAACAGCGTTGATAAAAGGATTCTTGTTGCAAATCATGGTCTCTGTTACCAACCTGACGTACCTCATAGGCACTTAAAAAAAAACAGGTATTTCATAAACTTTTAAATTGTACTCTCATACAAGCCTGAAGCTCCGGCTTCCTGCATTTCTCCTGAAGACAATCACTGTCTCTGATTTCCACTCTGCTCCAATCTTTTGCACAAACTTCATTCAACTGTTTCAGCTGGCTCATCAATAATTCTTGATCATTTCCCTAGAAAATTGTGTGCATTCATTTAATATGCCAAAAAATAACGTTTTTCCATCTTAAATACCATCAATTTACTGATATCCGTCTTTGCAGTTTTGCATGGCACCCCGAATTTAGGCACGCAGAGAGCTTCATGAATTACAAAATGAGCAAACATGTACTGTTGCTAAAAAATGAAATAGAAATATTTATTATAATATTATAAAGTAAAATATTTTACCTCATTTTCAACCAGATTAGCTCTGTGTCGTCTGATCTCCTTGAATACGCCATAAGGGTTCAAGTGACCCTCACTTTTCGCCATTCGCAGGCACGCGTCAATCAAAATGAATGCGCCTGTTCGACCCTCTCCAGAACTGCATTCAAAAATTATTTCTGATCAAAAATGTAGCATAATTTTCTCTTTTACCTGCAATGAACTATCAAAGGTCTGAAAATGACCATTTTCAAAATATTTTCAACGAATTCAGCTGTTGTGTGGGGTCCAAATGGAATTCCATGATCAGGCCATGCCGTGAAATGCATTTGTGTGATCTTAAAATTACATTTATTAAGACAGAACTTACAGGCTACTTCATAAAACTTTACTTTTCGATTTATCGACCCATTTGTAACACTCAGTGTTCGTTTCACAAAGTCCAGCGAGACGTCTTCCTCGACGTTGCGAATTTCCAAACTTCCCACATTGATCACTTGGCATTTGTCAGGCCAGTACTTTGCACAATTCGCCTTTTATGGTGACTTGTAAAATTTCTTATTACAGCAGCAGAAATTAAAACTCACCTCCCAATTTCCCTTTACGTTGACTAACATCACAATCAATGACGCTTGCTCCTGCCAAACCATTCTCCAGAAATCTTTAACAGTGGACTTGATGGGTCCTTGAGTAGCAACATATTTATTGCCACATGCCTAAATAGAAAAATATAAAGATTTTTATAATTGCATTATATATATTTTTCTGAAGATAAATGAAAACACAAAAAATTAAACTGAATGTTACTTTCCTTCACGTAATTGGCATTAATGTAGTCGTTGGAATTTTTTCCTGCAACGTCTTTCGATTTTAAACAAATTCTTGTCTCGTCATAGGCTGGGCAAACTCCATCGCGATTCTTCTTTCTGTTTTCTTTAGACGAACCAACATTGACGGACTTTGTTTTACCCTGAATTAATGCCTGTAAATTTGCATTATTTTAAATGCACTTTGTTATTTTTAATTGCATTTACCTACCCAAAATTGTTCAGAAAGTAGTCCGGATTTTATTGAAGTTGAAAAATATTCTTGATAATTTTCAATCAAAACCTTTTCATGATTTTCATCTAGATTATGTTTTAATTCCTTCGTGCCCGTGCTTTTACTGTCCATTATTTCTATAAAAAATTAGGAAACTTGTAAAAATATATCAGCAAGAGCTCAGGGACAAGATGATCACCGAGTGGAATTGCATATTCTGGTTCTTCTTCTTGTGCTGTATTAATTTTACGTAATAGGAACTTTGCAAGGAAAATGACAGCCAAAATCAAGACAACCACAAAAACGACTACAATTAGAATATAAGTAATTGGAATTTGATTTTCTTCTGAACCTGGAAAAAGCTTAGTAATCATAGTTTTCATTTTATTTTGCTAAAATTATACTTTGGCTTGAAAAATATTTAGTGAAAGAACTGCCATCTTCTGCTTTTAAAAATATGGTAAAATTTTTTCTTTTGTCTGTTTCATTGCAAGAAACATTTTTCTCCGAGTATTGCAGCTTGCAATCAAAATTTTTACACAAGTTTTCGTCTCCTGTCAATCTCCACGATCCATTTTCAAAGACTGCTGATTCAGCGAAATCTGCCCCCAAATTATAATTTATGTTATCTATTCTCCAGTTACAAATAATTATAGAACTTACTGATCGGCAAGCATTTTGGAGTTGAAAAATTGCCAATTTTAGCTCCTTTTTCATGGGATTCGCCGTTTCTCTCTATCAAGACGATCCGAACATCATAAGTGGTGTTAAAATTCAAATTTGTTACATTTAAAATAAGAGACGTCTTTTCAAATGTATAGTTGTCCCATGTTTGATCACTTTTCTTCTGAAAAAGAAACGTTCATTGAAAAAAAACTATATAAACCTGAGCGAGTTTATCCAACCTCTCTAAACTGCACCAAGCCGCGATGGAAATATTTTTTCACATTTTTGTCCTCCCATGCCAAAGAAAAATTAACCGTCGTTATTTTCCCAATTGACGTGACCGTTGGAAAATTAGGGTAAACGATAATACCTATGGTGTATATTTTGTTAAATTTTTAAGGTTTTTAATAACTTATAAGATATATTTTTTTAAATACCATCGACGCAGTCAGGTGCTCTAAATCCTTCAGCACACGAAAAACATTTCCCCGTGTGGACGCTGTAATTACCATGCGTCCCATTCCCTGCGCAATTCTGTCTTGAATCTACTGAAGTTTTACAGTTTGGCCCGAACTTTCCATCGGTGCATCCTTTTTAATATAATTTACTAATAAGTACCTAATTATTTCTAATTTAAAATTCAACGAACTTTGTGTGCAAATTGATCCACTGTAACCAGAGAAGCAAAAGCAGCCGCTCACATCGCAGGCCCGGATATTTTCACACTCGGGATTGCCAAGTTCCTTGCAGATAATTTCCCTTGCGTGGTCGGTGACTAAAAACTGATTAAATTTGAAACTAAAATTTAGAAATCTTTACCATTGAAAGTAGGCAGTTTTTCGATGTAATTGTTATTTTTGCTCTCTGCAGGCAATTGGCCTTTCTTGCTTGGGTCGAGAGAATTACACGTCCGTGATAAATTTGTATTTGTTGTTATGAAATATCCGTCTATAATTTTATATTTTATTCTAGACGCTAAGAAAATTATTATAATTTACCAGATTTGCTGCTGCCGCAAAATTTGATTTGTCCGATCACAAAATTGTTTCCTTCCACGGTGATATCATATTTACCTCTGGGAATGTTCTCAAATTCGACTCTCTCTTTTTTCCAAACATTTTTCTCCATAAGAGAAACTTGAGAGTTTTTTTCAAATCCTCGTGATTTTGCTTGGACGGAAAATTTTCCATTTTCCTTAATTAACGCAATGATGTCCATGCAGATAGTCGCAATCTCATTCAACTCAACTTTCGAAGTCATTCGAGCTTTGCTATTGTTCTCAGATTCCAGAACCCAATCTTGTTGTTTGACAAAGTTAAATTTGTATTGTATCAAAATTATAATAAGCTCACATTTGTGGACTCGAAAATAACTTCTATAAAAGTTGTGTGCTGAAAATATATAATATTTAAATGTCTCCGCCGCGACATTTGGATATTTTGACCTGTTAAGAAATATTTCATGAAATAAGAAAAAATGCAATTAATTAATAGCGCAGATTACGAGTTGAACTGAAGCGACCAATCATCGACAGAAAATTTAAGTAATTTAGTTATGTTGTCATCCACTTCAAAGTCAACCGTGAACGTTGCCCAGTTGTTGCCAGAGTTGAAAATTGGAGTGTTAGTCTGGCACATTAATTAAGTCAGAATCAAATTGAATTATGAAAAAAATATTTACTTTCACAATTGTATCGTCGAGTACATCATTTATTCCCAAGGCGTATGTATAATTTGTGTCTGGTATTCTCGGATAGTACCTAATTTTCGATGCATTGCTTTTGAATCCGTCAAATGCGTTGTAAAAACCTGATTTATTTTGCCAATCCTCGTGGGCTGTCAACAGAACTTGGACGCTTTCCTTTGCGAGGGCTGAAAAATGAAACCTTCCTTTTTTTCCCCGCCTTTCCATGTGCGCTGTTTTGCCAAAATTAAAGTTTGTGCTGGATACAGTTTCAGGAAGCGCTTGAAGTTTGAAATCATAAAAATAATCATAAATATTTATGTAATGCAAACAAAATTTTTACAATTCCAACGTTCGTCCAGGATCGGTCCATATTCGTCATTCCAGTTTTCCAAATTTGATTTATTTTTAAACCCGCTCGTCGTCCACGCACTGCATTTTGAAGGCAATATGCAATCGCTATATTTTTTGTCTAAACCATTTTCAATAAACGAGACTACTTTTTCTTCTGTTGGTAAAAAATAATCTTCTGAAAATAAAAAATAATTTTAAGATTCTGTGGAAATTGCTAATTTTAGAAAAATACTTCCTGATTGAGGTTTTCCTACTTCTCTAAGAAATGCAACCGTATACTGTGCCGACGTATCAGAAGTATAGCACCCCGTCACATTATTTGTCTGTAGATTTTTTAAAAACAGCAGATTTCCTTTGAAGATTTTTGTTAATTTTCTGTATAAAAATCACTCCAAATATTCACGCATGCACTCAATTGTAACACGCGCGCTTTACAAAAAATTGCAGCTTGTGACTGACAATGAATAAAATTTAAATATATGTAAAATAATAGTAAAATAATTTCATACCTTGCACTGCTGGCAGCAGCACGCAAATTAAGAGAAATAGTCCTCTCATGATTTGCGTTGGGCCATGTCTACTGTTCCAATGCTCACAAATGCATTTAAAACAGGAAACTGTAGCATTTTGTTTTTTTCAGAACGATAACGCCGCAAAACTAGGAAAAGATGATAAATTTTGTGATAAAATAATGCCAGTTTTATTTATCATCGGCAGATTTATCACAATGTGTGATATTTATAGAACAGCATTTTTATCAAAAGCGATACTAATTTATAGGTTCCGGGTTTCTGAAAATTCTCTTTTTGATATATTTAATAAGCGTTTGTTATACACTATCTGAAAAATTCCCAATCAAAAAGAAATCATACTTTTTACAGAAACATTTTACATTTTCCATAGAGATGATAAAGTTAGAGATTTCATTATTTCAGAAATAGCATATTTTTCAGGCAGAAGTATCAGAATTTATTGCATTATTTGCGAGGTTAAATTCTAGTTGCGGTACTTTTAAGCAACCGGCTTGTCTTGCAAGGCGCGCGGGCTGCCTATCCCTGGATTAATTGGCCCGGCGAATGAAGGAGAGCAAAGCAAGGGGCACCCAAAAGGAGACAATTTGGATTCAGGACACGACCCGTCCGTCACTGTACCGGGCGCCACTTGCTCTCGAATACCTAATGCCGCGGGGATGGCGCAAATTTCCAGCCGAATGTTTCACTGCTGTTTTGAGTGTCGCCGCTTCAAACTTTGTCATTATTGAAAAGCAGCGGAGGCGAACGTCGGTGTTTAAATTGCGCTCCCGGCGGCGCAGCGTTGTGACAACTAGCGCAGTTCATTTGCATGCCGCCGGACAAGCGTGGTGGTACGTCATTAAAAAGGGTTAAAACCACCATCAAAAATAAAAAAAGCAGGTGAAAGTAAAAATATGAATGACATAATGATATTTCAAATAGTAATCAAAAAAATTAGTGGAATTCCCAATTCCCAGACACTTACCAAAATTATTTTACTTTTAAATGCATAAAGAAATGAATTCAGTTTAAGCATAGAGATTTAATTGGATTAAATTTAAGAAATTTTGATTTTTAATATTTTAAAAGCTCAATTCTTTTCTTAAGTGAAATTAGAAAATTTTAGAATGAAAATTTTCCTGCAGCAGGTTATTCCAAGCTTTGGAGACGAGCAATTGTGAGCTGAATCAGGGCCTAGGGCAACCACTTTTGCAACGAAATTCAATAACACTTGGCTGCATGCACTTGCGCTCTGTTTGTTTTGTTGAAGAGCAGCTCGAGGCGCGCATCAAAATTACTCGCTGCGAAGTGCAGCTCATTAATTATGCAACTCTCGGCACTTTGATCTCAATTTAATCGTCATTACTCATTGATCCGTCTGAAACGAGCTGTACAATATTTCAACAATCGCATGCAGAATTTATCGCTCGGGTATGATTAACGTATTGAATTGTGCGGTCGAGGGTCGCAGGCTCATTTAGTGCCCGACCGAAATAAACTTCAACTCCCTGCCGCGCACTTTGCATTTACGATGCAAAAGACTATATTATGGTAGTTTCCGCGAGCATGTTACCCTGTTGGTTGCGGCAACACCATTAAATCAGCACAACCCACGTTGGATCGCAAGTTTAGGTCATACATTAATTTTATCAGATGATAACAATCGGGTTTTGTAGTGCTTATAAATCTCGGATTTTTGTATTTTTCAATTTAAGAAAAATATTTATTGATAATGGAAAAAGAAAATTAACATACAGCTAGTAAAAATATATATTTTATTTTCATTATAAATAATTGTAGATTTTATTTTAATATAAATTTAATAATTTTATTCTTTCTTTAATTAAGATATTTGATTTGATACTTTGCTGGAATCGTGATACAATTTATGGTTATCTTTGCTTATCTTCTATTCTTGTGCATCAGCCTGGAATGGCAGTGTTTATTATTTGCACCGACGACCCGATTGTTTGCACCGCGAAAACACATCGCAGCTGAGTGCCGAAATGAATTTGAAATTCGGTCGATTGGTTGTGATATTATTTGAGAGAGTGAGCCAGAGTGGAGCGACGCGGCAGTAATTCAACGCCACACTTGCCCGTCCACGTGGAAATGGCGATGGCTGCAGCGCGCCTTTTATTCACAAACGAGACACGTGCGAATAAAAAAAATCGGTACACTCTGCAAACTTTTTACGACGCTCATTGTGACATACGGTTCATCTAACAGATACAAACACGCTTTTAAAATGTTTTATGAGTACTTTTATTAAGTGAAAAAATGGAGTTAAAAAAAAATGGTGAAATATGATCACAATGATGAGTAGGTTCAAAAGAAGCACTTTCAAATGCAATCCAAGCAAATGATTCCACACTTAATATCACACAAAAAATAGAAACAGAGCTGTGGGTAAATTTAACATAAATTTTGAAGAGATAATTGCTATTTACTATTTTTTATCAATAGATAAGTGATAAAAAAATCAGCTTCAATATCATGTGCCAACGACATTTCAAAGCGTCGATTGATTCTCTGCTGTCAATATTTGCTTATCGACTCTCATCAAAATTCAGATCAGTTTTTTTACATGCCAGAGTGAAAATCGTGCTTGACATGTAGTTGAGTGCAGCCACTAGATTTTAATCAACAGGTGCCCCGTGGGGGTGGACCGTGGGGGGCTGAAGGGGTGCTCTCTTCTGTGGAGCAGCATTTACGATTGGCACGGTGCCAACGGCTCTTGGACGACCCCAATGAACACCGGTATGGGCGCGTCATCCCGCTGTGTTTGCGATACACACGGAGAGAGCCACTTAATTTGCTGAGCAATTTGTCGCTTGATCGTTAAGGAATGACCGCAAGTTATTTCTTCGTCCATTTCCTATACTTACACTAGAGTTTATTAAAGCTTAATAATTTGTATAATTTATTTACAAAAAAAAAATATTAGACCAAAATTTAAAACGAAAATAAATTCTTAACTGATATAGAGAATGAGAAAATCAATTAAAATGAACGCGAAAAGTTTTTAGGAAATTTTTATTAATTTCAATTTGTGTTTATTTTAGTTTGATATTTTTTCACATTTTCCATGGTTGAAATGTTTGGACAGAATTTACAATATTTCCGGCTTCCGCCAAATTATATTTCGCTTGTGATGAAAAGCGTGCTTGTGGATTGGAATTACTCGCAATTAATGTTTCACCAGCAGTCTGTGAAACTGTTCACTCAGCCCATTTTCGCGGTCGGCGAGCCGCTTTGCCAGCGTTCATTTCATATACCAGGAGACAGAAATGCCGAGCATGGCGCTTTTAATTCCCGAAAATAGCCACCGAATAACTCGCAGCTCTAAAATATATTCCAGCCACGGAAAAATTATTTCAGCCTTCATTAAATTCCCTCAACAGCTCGGCGCTAAAATAACTCATATCAGCTGGTAATTTTATTTATTAAAAGGCGAAAATTCATGGAATGAGGGTGAAAAAAATGTCTCATTTTTATGGGAATGGGCGTAAAATTTTACATTTGACGACATCGTTTCGGCGAAATTATTAACAACCCATAAAACGGGTGGAATCAGCTTGAAGCTTCCCTTCAAGGAAAGGACTCGAATTTCAAACAGCACAAAAAATAGCGATGAAATTTGATTACATCTTATGAATGCTAGTTGGACGTCCTCTTTTTCAAGTGGAAAACGCCCATGCTATAAAAATTCACAGCAAGCAATGTAAAAATCTCACTCCAAACTGGGATTTTTCATTTAAGACCTGCTGTGCCTTTTAAAAGGATTTCCTTGAGCAATAAAGCGTTCTTTTTTACTTGACGTTTTGCTCGTTGCTGCAGGCGTTGGGAAGCAACTTTTGCACTCGCGAGTGGCGATACCATTTTGAGGGTGCGTCTCATTTGGCATTCAACGTTTAAGAGGATAAACAGCCGAAACTTTCCTCATTTGCCTCCGCCCTCGTCCCGCGAGCAGAATCCACTCGCTCCGTCCGTACTGTAGCAAATACTTTCTGAGAAGAATAGTGTGCGAATTTCCGGTGCGCATCTTACTCTCTCGCATAATCGAATATCCTCATGAGAAAAAAATCAATTGTCAGCAAAGCGCACGGTCTCAATTATGGCTCTTTAAATAAAAGCTCAAAGAAGAGAAAACCAAATCTTAAAAATAGTATTTTACTTTAGGGGGGAATTAAAATAGAATAAAACTATTTGAACATGTAAAATATAGATTTCGTATGTGGCAGAACATCAGGATAAGTTTTGCAAAGGCTTCAAACAAATTTTCAATGAATAAGCAGCGTGGATACTTCATTTTAATAAATTGATTTATTGAATTGAATTTATTAAAGAGAACAACACCATAGGTGTGCGACATTACATATATAAATTAGGAGATAATTTCTTGACGAGCTGCTTCACACAAACTTAGAGAATTACGAGTACATTCTGAGAAGTGATATAGTCCTATTTTTTCTCCACATATTTTACAAATACAAGTATCTTTGGCGGTCGTGTGATATACCTTGTTTATACAAAGTAAAAAGTGAAATCCATGACAGGCATATCTAGTATATACATGGTTAGTATCGAAACAGGCCTGTTTCCAGGCATCGGAGACCATAGCGGTAGTATCATAAAATTTCAGTCAGTTTAAATAAAAAGTTGTCTATAAATTTTTCATAATTATCTGTTTTTTGGAGATGAAATTTCAATACAAGGTTATTAACAAGAGGGTTTGTATCTGCCAGTTCATATACCAGTCTAGATTAGGTAAATTTTGATACCTGCAGGGCTCTTTTAAGAAATCTTGATTTAGCTGTTTCCAATTTATTTAAGTCATTAAGAGTTAAAAATGGCCATAGATTGCCTCAATGCCGTACGTTGCAACCGGTTCAATTACAAGTTCAAATAATTTTAGTGCAGTGCCAAGAGAGGATTTTGGAAGGCTGGAGAGTTTATTAGTAGCAAAAATAGCTGCCTTAACTTTTCTATCAATATGTTTTGAGAAGGAAATACCTGACGATTGAAATGTCACTCCTAAATAGTTAAACTCTGAAACAAATTCAAGTTCTTCTCCTTGCACTTTAATAACATCT